ATAAGAAAAAACTGCTGTCGACAAACAGGTCTGTTTTTCGACGGTGGGTATCATTTTTTCAGAAATCTAGAAAAACTGCTGTCGACAAACAGGTCTGTTTTTCGACCAGTTAGGTCGAAAACTGGGAAGGCAAAGGTCGTCTTGAGGCAATTTGTGGTCGAAAACCGGCGAACTTACCCTAAGCGGCATTAGCGGCATTGTTTATGTTTCAAAGTTGACAATGCCAAAATCTATCTTGGAAAAAAATAAAGTATAGTTAGATATCAATTATATCCTGTTCACAATCCGATGTCCACAGGTGCAGGTAAATTCATCACCTTTCCCTATCAAATAGCATTGAAAGGTGATTTTACCTGTACCTACCTGTGGACATCGGATTGTGAACGGATAATGAGTTAAAATACATTTTCAAAGAAAATTTAACGAGTTCCAGAGAATTTTTGTTCAATAGACATACTCCAACAGTAACAGTCTAGTGTGCAATCTCTATTGACAAAAAATACAGACCATTTTCATTAATGAACCAACGATAACAGAAATTGTATACACTGATATGTTCTTTTTTCCACAGTTAGGACTGAAGGGTATCTTAGGTGATATCTATTTTCAGCAGGATGGTGCCATCCACCTCATTATTCTTTGATAGCAAGGGAATCACTAGATATGCCATTTGGCGAAACATATACAGTTGTGAGCACAAAAAGTGGGACACCCGACTGACAGGTCTTATAATTTTTCGCTATTTTTGGTAAATCAGTCTTTCCTCTACAATGGATTTTTTGTTAAATATAACAATTCCTGTCATTGCCGTAGGTATAGCTGGTGAGCCTGTTTTACAATAGGAAAAAACGGGTGTCCCACTTTTTGTGCTCACGACTGTACAGGGTGAGTCATTTTGGGTGGGAATGCCGGATATAGCCTAAATGGTAATAGATACAAAAAATCTAATATACGTGTCGCGATCTATTTTTCTGAGTATGTATAGTTCAATGGACCACTCAGAATTTCTCGGACTTCTTTTGTTTTCGATATACAGGGGTTTTTTGGAAAATAGCTGATTGCTGTTTTCCTCTGTATCTTAGTTATTATCAAAAAATTTTAAAAATGTTAAATAACGTTTTTGTGTGATTTTTTACGTAGAATCCAGTGGCGTACTCATATTTTTTTTAGGGGTATCATTTTCTGAGATATGGTCCAAATTTTAACTTTTTTAAATGGGACACCCTATATATTTTTTCATCGTCAAATTGAATGTTTTTTTGTGATTGTAACGATATATAACACTTTATAGTTTTAATAATTTTAACTATCAAAAACGCGAAAAAACTATATTTTTGGGGTATTTTAGCTAAGTTGTTCCTCGGATTCAGCGATCCCAGACATAAACGTGGCACGGCGCGGCGGTAGCGAGAGCAAGGGCGGCAGCGACACGGGAATTAGAAAATGTGGTGGTATATGATACATTTCATCCCGTTATTTTGCTTACATTTCCCACCCCGTGTTTTAATTCCGCGACGATGCCCTTTCCGCGGTACCGCACTGGTGTGTAGGATCCTTTATTGAAGATTTTTAGTAAAACAAACAGTGGCGGATCTAACATGAAGCAAACGACGCACTCTGCGTCGGACCCCCAGAGCTGAGGGGCCCACACACAACCGAATTCTGAAGGCATTGATAAAAATTGAAAAAAAAATCAATAAAAAAAAATCCAAAATTAAATTTTGAAAGAGAAGGCAACGTTGTATACCTCTAGGGAATCCTGCTAGAAAGAGTCTATTAGCGGGGTTACGCGCGGTTTTTGGAGTAAATGGACCCAGATGCGATTTGCATTGGAGGCAACACATTTTTTTCAAAGATTATTTAGAGGGCGGACGGGTTAGTTTGGGTAAGCTTGGATTAGCTCTTTTCGTCTAAAATACCAATATACAAAGACTAGCACTCATTATTAGGACGGGTTAGTTTGGATAAGCTCTTTTTGTTCAAAATACCAACATACAAAGACTACATTTTGCAACGGTGTCTCGAGCTCTCTCTATACTAGAACTCATTTAGGCTCTTCTTATTGGTTATTTCTGCGAATAGACTTTACGCGGCTTTCTCAGCTATGGTCTATTGTCTTCCAACCAGACTCCAGAGATAATTTATGGCACTTGTTGGTGGAGTACGGATAGTACAGTACAGTGCTTTTTAGTTTTTGTTTTTGGTGGCTTTGGTGCCTGTGTGGGTACTAGTGGAATAGGTGTCGTGTTTTCATATTATTATCTTATATTATTATGTTCTTAATAAACTTGCTTTTTTGGCTGTAAAAAACTTCAAAAATATAAATAAATTTTGATCACTCGCCTCATACCCCAATACCACAAGAAAAATACCTAAAAAAGTATGACAGGGCCCCAATTTTTTTTTTGCGTCGGGCCCCAAAGATCCTAGGTCCGCTACTGAAAACAAATCATATCCAGTTTTTTAATTAAATATAAATAAAGACAATCGTTTGTGAACTAGCAGACAGAATAGCTAATTAAAAGTTTTAATAATTCAGTAGACTCACGAATTCCAAAAAATTACCAAATGCCGGAACCAAAATTAACATAATTGTGTTTCGTTTTAAATGTTTTGTTTACTACTCTGCCCAATGTCGACATCAAGCGAAGAGCATGCGCAGATCCGTTTTCACATAAAATAAGGCTAAAAGTTAGAAGTTAACAATTTTTCTTCTTTCTTATGTTATATTATTTACTGTATTAACGCCATGCCCATAAGGGTTTTCCATAAGGTCAACTTTTTATCTTATGTTATAGTTATTTCTTATGTTATGTTATGTGTCTGTATAAACCCACCCTAAGACTGTTAATCTATACAGAGATCCTAGATTCAAATCCTAGTTTGGTCCAAACGAGGCATAACAGACAGAATACATAACCACTTTTAAGTTAATGAAGAGTTTGGGTTAGACTCGACTAGGATTTGAACCTAGATCCTCTAGATTACCAGTCAAATACCAACTGAGCGACCGAGGTCTTCAGTTCATTTTTACCCAGTCAAGTGTTTCGTTTAACGTGTTAGTTAAACAATCGGAAACCTTCGGTGATTACTGAATCTAGAAGTCTAAGGTTTAAATCCTAGTCGAGTCCAACCTTTTAGTTAACTTTTACATTAGCCATTCTGTCTGCTAGGTCACAAACGATTTCCTTCATTTATATTTAATTAAAAAACTGGATATGATTTGCTTTACTAAAAATGTTCATTGAAGGATCCTACACACCAACGCGGTACCGCGGGAGAATCAGCGTCGCAGGATTAAAACATGTGGCGGGACATGTAAGCGATATACGCTTTAGGATGAAATGTATCATATCCACACATTTTCTAATTCCGTGTCGCTGCCGCCTTTGCTCCCGCTACCGCCGTGCCACATTCAGTGGCGTAGCTAGGCGTCGGCGACCGCCGACGGCCTCGCGCCCTAAGGGGCCTCGCAAAAAATAGGTTACCGAACCTAAAACTTGACACTTTTCGATTTTCCAAAATAAAACGTAGAGAACAAACAAACCTAATCCTATACGCAACTTCTAAATATCATAGATTTCGCTAAAACTTATCAATTCTACTGCAAATTAACCTAGAACTCTCAAATCATATGGTTTCTATTTTTTTCGGTAGATTGTCGGAAAAGAATTATTTTTTTTGACTAAATAAGTATTGTTATCAAATAGTATGCTTTCTACTACTACTAATACCGTTGATATGCCCGGAGGCGATTTTACATAGTATACCATATAGAGAGCATCGAGTCTATAAGCTCCGCCCCCGAGGGCGGTTACGCACGGACGTGGATGTCTTAATACATATACGTGCATACATCAACGTGCAAACAACAACGTGCACGGCGTTTTGTACAGACGCTCGCACAAAACTGGAGTCTTGCTATTCTTGCTACAGTTTTCCGAGTGTGCATACAAAATTGCACATTCAAAAACGCGACGGTATTTTGCATACACATTGATGTTTTTGTTTGCACGTTCATGTATGTGCGTACATGTTTTCAGACATCCACGTCCGTGTGTAACCGCCTTAAGCCCAGTCCAGCTTTGGTACAGTATAAAAATGTCTGTAATGTGGTATAGAATGTAATCAGCAGTGCGCAAAATGGGTTATACTAGGTAATCGCGGTATACGCTCGCACGAGTCGCACGCGGGATAACTATTTCCTATAACAAGCCTTATTTGGGCATTCAGACTATTTTTCAAATACCTGTCACGTCGTCAAATTTCAGCACATTTGCACTTATAGTTCCTGAGATAGAATCGTGTTAAGCAATTTGGGCTGATTTATCAGTTATTTTTTAAATTTTTATGTCAATTTGTGCATTGCATCCCTTTTTCCTGTTCCACAAATTAGAACTACCCTTTTTCTGTGTATTCTTGTTAAGGTTGTTATGCTGGACTTGGACAGACGGAAATTTAGCGAAAAGCTAATTTTTGTATATTTAGGGATGGTATTTCGATATTACCTTAAAATCAAGACTTAACTAAGGTACCCTTATTGTTAAGGTGAACTTGAAGTCAATTCATTCAGGTGGCTTAAGATCCACCTTGATTTAAGGAAAATTTTATATATGGTGAAACTTTTATTAAGAATGACTTAACGTTATTCTGTACCTTAAGGGAACATTGAAATACCGGCCCTAAGAAACGTTCTCCTAACTATCCAGTTTGTATATGTATCGGCACTGAGCTTTCCTATAAAACTCTTAGCTTCTGCAAAATTACTTCCCATCATTTGCATCTAATTGAAGCCTTATATTCTTGACAACTTCCAAATTCCAAAGTTTCTATTTCTACCTCAGGTTATAATTTTTTTAAATTAAATCTCTTTACCTACTTTGCTCACCCATCTTGCTTTGTTTTCACTTCCAACACTCACATACTAAATGAAAATGAACGATTGTATGCGAATCGTGGGTTCTAGAAGAACCCCTGGATACTTTCGGAGTTGTCATGGTGTTTCACTCCATTACTGAACCAAAGCTGGACTAGGCTTGGAGGCGAAGCTTATAGACTCGATGTTCTCTACATAGTATACTATGTAAAATAACTGCTCGGAGGCAGGGGCGTGACACTCAAAAAATTCTCGCCTTCGGCGGGTATCGGGTATCCTTCAGCTAACCGTCCCTGCTTTTTGTCTCGAGAAATCCTATGGCCACCCCACCCTACATAAAAAGGGCCTCGCAATTCGGATGTCGCCGACGTCCACGTTTGGTTTGGCTACGCCACTGGCCACGTTTATGTCTGGGATCGCTAAATCTGAGGAACAACTTAGCTAAAATACCCCAAAAATATAGTTTTTTCGCGTTTTTGATAGTTAAAATTATTAAAACTATGAAGTGTTATATATCGTTACAATCACAAAAAAATATTCAATTTGACGATGAAAAAATATATAGGGTGTCCCGTTTAAAAAAGTTAAAATTTGGACCATATCTCAGAAAATATTACCCCTAAAAAAAATCTGAGTACACCACTGGATTCTACGTAAAAAACACACAAAAACGTAATTTAACATTTTTTAAAATTTTTGATAATAACTAAGATACAGAGGAAAACAGAAATCAGCTATTTTCCAAAAAACCCCTGTATATCGAAAACAAAAGAAGTCCGAGAAATTCTGAGTGGTCCATTGAACTATAATCAGAAAAATAGATCGCGACACGTATATTAGATTTTTTGTATCTATTACCGTTTAGGCTGTACCCGGCATTCCCACCCAAAATGACTCACCCTGTACAGGGTGGCCCCTTTTCGATGTTTTAATAGGCTATATCGAAAACCAGATATCAAAAATCTGGGAGCACATTCTCGAGCTCTTTTTTTGAGAAAATAACAATGGCGAAGACAAATCACTGCTAACTTGATGCGTTTAGGAAATACAGGGCACTTTTCAAATTTTGTCCAATTTTAAAAGACACTCTAATTTCCTTATTATTCCAAATATCAAAAAACGAAAAATACTTTCTATAGGCAGTTTTTCAAGGAGAATCCAGTGGCATAACCAATTTTTCTCCAGATGCCTCTGATTTTGGAATATTGACCAAAGTTGTGTTTTTTTTTATGGGACACCCCGTATATTTTTTTTTTTTTCATTGAATAGCTCTTTGTAAGCTGATTTCAATGATATAAGGTTTTATACTTTCACCATCAATAGTTTTGGAAAAAATAAATAAATTCCGTTTTTTCCATAAGAACCAATGAGTTAGAAAGAGAAAGTTAAACTATGAATTGGCTACAAATTTCTTAATTCTTAATTTAATTTTTCAGTTCAGCTAATTTTTTTTAAAATTTGAACTATGATCGGGGGTGATAAATAGGCAACACATAATTTATTTAATGACTCATCTCTCTCTAGCTCATTGTTTCTTATGGAAAAACGGAATTAATTTTTTTCTCTCCAAAACTATAGAAGGTAAAGGTATAAAACTTCATACCATTGAAATGAGCTCACAAAGAGCTATTCAATAAAAAAACTAATATACGAGGTGTCCCATTTAAAAAAACACAACTTTGATCAATATTCCAACGTGATTTGTCTTCGCCATTGTTATTTTCTCAAAAAAAGAGCTCGAGAATGTGCTCCCAGATTTTTGATATCTCTGCTGGTTTTCGATATAGCCTATTAAAACATCGAAAATGGCCACCCTGTACAGAGTGAGTCACCATATTTTGAAACCCGCCTGCAGCCATAATTACAGGTGATAGGTAAAAGGTGTAAATACGAAAGTTGTAGCATTTTATCTGAACCGCCAGAATTTTCAATTAAATTGATCAAATGGGCAACGCAAAGTAGAAAAATATGTCGCTGTTCGCTTTTTTTAAATGAAATGCCCTCTATTTTCTTTCAATATCTTAAAGTTCTCGTTTTTCTGATTCAGAATTTATATAACATGTTGATGTTTCTTTCAACAGTTTTGGAAATATCTGGAGTTTAGTTATACAAAGACAATAGTTTTTTGGATATATTTTACCTTGATTTACCTGTCACCTGTAACAAAACATTCTGATATATCCTGTTCACAATCCGATGTCCACAGGTGCAGGTAAATGTATCACCTTTCCCTATCAATTAGCATTGAAAGGTGATAAATTGTACCTGTACCTGTGAACATCGGATTGTGAACGGATAAACTCCAAATATTTCCAAAATTATTAGAAGAAAAATTAACATATTAGAGAGATAAGTTGGCTGGGACATCCTGTATTAAAGAAACCACTTTTTGTACTTACGTATATCATAAAATTCATTCATTCTGAAGTAGTTTTTGATTATCTAAATGTCACTTTTCAAAACCAAAAAACCAAACTTGAAAAGAACCCAAATAGGTGTAATGGAAATTTGATAGAGCAAATAATAGTATATTGTTGTATTAGGAGTAGAAGCTTTACTTTTTTGTGCTGAAGCGGTAGGTTTGCGAGCCGAACGTAGTGAGGCTTGCAATACTGCTGAAGCACAACAAAGTGCTTCTACTCCGTATGCAACACGCTATTTTTTCTCCAAACGAATAAGGTGAGCGCGGGGGCAAGTAAATGGTTAAGCGGCATTGAAAGTACGAGCGGCACTAAAAGTACTTCTACTGCCGCTGGGGTTGCCAAGCAGCATAGAAATTAAATTTCTACCACCTCGACAGGTGTAAACCCGCTAATTTTGCCTAGCAGCATAGAAATCAAATTTCTGACATCTTGACAGGGGTTAACAAAGTGACGTTTTTCTGACGTTTGGAGAAAAAAGAGAATATAAAAGAAATTTCCAAAGAGAACAAATCAGTAACATCATAATATAATACCTATGTATGATAAAATGATTATGTTACATTGCCACATTTCTCGAAATTTTTCTAAAATATAGGGGTAAATGTGAATGTCCTTGGTGGCCCCAAGTGAGCAGTTCATCCTTAAAATAAATTTTAGAGTTTAATTGTATTTTCAATTATATGATATTTTCTTCCACTCCGCCTATTGTAATTTTTTTCTTCAATGTAATTGATTTAAAAAGGTGACCTACATTTTTTATTGTAACAATTAGGACAATTGGATTGTTTTTTAAACAATTTACCCAAACAGCTTTCGCCCTATACTTTTTCAAGTTACAACTTGAAGAATACTTGCTTCACAGAAAAAAAATGGTCTCTAATTTTTTTCAAAGAATTGATCAGAAATAATACAATAAGGCGACTTCTGATGTTGTGACAATGACAGAGGCTAGCTTGGGCTAGTGACCAGCCTAGTCTTACCCAGGCTCAATTTAATTTACTTCGCATTCCTCCAATTGGAGATATTTTCTAGCCAATATTTGGCATTTGCTCAGTTCTTTGTAAATTCGAAATTCTCCTTTCATCTAAAAAAAAATTAAGTTGTATCTATTAAAATTCCCAACCTATATAGAAACTCACTTAAGCTTCAATGTGAGCTAATATATGAGACGTTTCCATCAAGCACTGACACCCGCACAAAGGACAAAAACTATGTCTCTCGAACCATTGTTCCAAGTGATCGGTATGACCACCGTGACCGCAAATTAAGCAACAATTGACCGAAGCTTTTGCCGCTGTGTTGCAAATAACGCATCGAAAAGCTATCCTTTTACAACTAGTGCAAACTGAATTTTTTATCGGAGTTTGACAAGTTTGGCAATCAGGTATACATTCAACTCCTTTGTAGGGTTCCGGTTGGATGGTCATAAATTTCATTACCTGAAACATATTTTGTAATTAGGATTTTTTCACGTTTCTAGAATATTTTGTTAGGATTTGGCAAATCTGCAAGCTGTAGATACTTTGTTTTATACTGGTAGTGGATCCTGAACTTTTTCGTAGAGATTATAAGGCAGGGACAGAATGGAGAATTGGAAAATTCAATATATGTAATAATGGGTTGAAAAGGGAATACGATGATTTATCTTAAAGATTTACAAACAGATTCATCGTTTCAAGATTCACTGTGTAACCACTGTATTCCCTGTTACAGGCTCACAGTTTAAAAAACACATCAAGAAATTTTTCCAAAATTTCCATTATACCTACTACCTAAATGTTAATATGAGAAAAAAGTGGTAAATTATTGATTATAGCTCATCTAGGTTTGATTGTATATTCTATCCACAATAAAACAAACTTGCCGGAACCTACCTCGATTTAAACTTGTTACAACTTACTTCTGTTCTATTATACAGAAGTCCCCATCTATGTAAAGTTTCCGCATAAGCCATTTTGTAATACTCGTAAAGGGCCACATAAGGAATCTTTATGGGGCTGGGAGGAACTACGATTTCTTCAACTCTGATATTATCCAGAGACGTTGATCTGGTACTTTTCAGTATCGGCAAGACCCATCCTTCAGCTATTATGTCAGCGGGTGGAATGGTGTGGTACGGAGATCCTCCTGTCTTGAATAATAGTCGGTGATTGTGCTATATTTCATACTTATACATTAGAAAATTGTGATGCGATCCTACCTAACTTAAGCCATCAACCAGTTACACTCTAGATTTTTACTGTATCTATATGCTATATGAAGATATTTACCTCTCATTGAAAGCTGAATATTAGCTCCAGAGTGAAATACTGTTTTATTATAAGTAAATAAATTGCATTGGAGTAAAACTCATAATTGGTCGATGCTTAAGCTAAGCAACACACAAATATCAACAACAAACACAACTACAGACAAAAAATATTAACAGGCGAGATAAATTATTTACCTTAAACCATCGTTTGCGAGGACCTAGTTGCTACAAGAGAGCGATTTATTATGTTAGTTTATTTATGAATAAAAAACATACACACACTAATTATAAATTATAATGTATTTTTTTGAATAATGATAATTGAAATAGCTTATTATGTATATATACAAAAAGGGGATAAAATAATGTTGTGAAATTAAATATTTTTTTTGCTACTAACCTGAGAAATTGTCATTATTCAATCTATTTTTCTAGGAAAAAATTGAATTTCTCTCCCTAGGTGAATAATGAAAATAATGAAAAAATACCTAGGTTAATAATGAAAATGACGTCATGACGCAAGGATATTGTCATGTTTCTATTGGTTCAATTACATTTCCATACGTCAATTTGAAAAAAAAATACAGGTTTCTGTAGGTACATAGGAAGTTATCATAAGCTGTTGATAGAGGGCAGCACTTTCAAGAGGGCGTTCAAAAAAAAATAATTGGAGCACAGATTTTAAACAAATTTTTCATTTTCTACTAGCAGTAGTAAAAAAAATTCTATATATTCCTCGGTAGAGAAAGTCATTATATACCTCACTCATTATAAACCTCGGCGCGAGCGCCTCGGTTTATAAAAGCGCTCGGTATATAAGGACCAACTTCTCTATCTAGGTATATAATATACTATTATAATGCTTTTCTTGATATCTGCTGAGAAGTTTGTTAGTTTGTATCATGGTTGTATCAATTTGTATCACTAGGGTTTCCGAAATTATGTTTTCTGAAACAATAGACAGGGCACTAGTCTTCAGGTAGATTGTCTAAGAATTGTCAATTTGTCAATATAATTGTAATAATTATTAATAAAAAGTCCATGTTATAAAGAATGCTGAATGATTATTTGAAGAAGTAATAGTAATTATTGCTGAAATTACAACAAATAATAGTGAATACAATTTACTTACCATTGGACAAAGTATGGATTTCAAGGATGCCTGTCTGAGTGAGTTCTCTTGATGTTTCCCAAATATGCAGCATAGCATTGCAGCCATTTGCAGGTCTGATTCGGAGGCATAATGTCTGATTCTAAAAAATAATCATGATAGAATGGATGATGATCAAAAAATAAGACGAAAAAAATGCAAAACACGACCTTTTCACATTATTTCACAGATAAACCAAATTATTTAGATTACTTACAATGATGTAATCAGATTATCGCCACAAGGATGAGAAGCCCATGCAGCAACATCATCGTTCTGGGGTTGGGTCAGAGTCAGTTCCACTATAGTCCAAGCCTGGACTAAGTCCCTTCTGCCGATAACAGCGGCAGCCGCTGCGTTGTGCTAAACAAACGATTTATTGAAATTTTCCATATTGAACTTAAGCAAAAATAGGTTACCTTGCAAATAGTCGCTACATCTCCATCCAAAATGTATTCTTCGGCCAGTTGACGATTTATCAAAAACAAACCAGTCCCGTCGTATACATGAACCATTGCTTTATTGGCGATTTTGGACAGGTTATGCTTTGAACGCGATCTGAAATCGTATAACTCTAGTTCAAGTAGGATTGTAACTATATGGTGCTTTTGCAATCAAGGAAAGTATTTCAGAACTTATGGATCAACTTACCTTTGTTTTTGCTTCTGGAAATAATAAGCAGAAACAGTCATTTGATCTGACGACCTTTTAGCAATAATCGCTTCCAAAGCTGACAAAGCTCTGGGGGTACCAGAATCACCTTTGGCTCCCACTCGTTTGGTCAAAAGCGGCCGTGCAAAGCACACCAGCGTATTGACCGAACAAAATTTCGCCCCTGACGTCCTGGGAAACGGTATATAGGCATCCTTATAACCTCCAATAGTACTGGCTTCCGCATAGACTCGCTCGAAAGACCGGTCACTCTCCAAATCAGCTGCCAACTGTTCCATAGTAGTAACCATTTGTCTCAGGCAAGGTTCCAAACAAGTTCGATTTTTTGAAACTCTTTGTTGCGCCAGGTGACCTAAAGTTTGAAGCAACTGAATACCCATCATGTCGGTAAGATTTGAATCGGGCATTATTTGAAATGCCGGTGGTACTCCGTGGGGGTAAGCGTTCGGAAAAGTAGCTTGCATGTTGACTGTGAATTTGTTGATTCTTACTGTGACCAAGGCAATTCGACTTGTCGAATCCATACTTTTCACTTCTAAATTAGGTATGTGGACGTTTAACAAGGAAAATTCTTGTTGAAGTGGTTGGATTTTCGATATTTTTCTTGAAGATATTGTGCTAGTTGTGTCATCGCCACCTACAACTACCAATTTCCAAAAATGTATTATCAGTTAACACAACTAGGTTCTAGAATAAAGTAATTATCAATAATTCTTCAATAAAATCAAATCCTCACCTGAACAATTTTCATTGTACAGGCTCAAATCGTCCGGTTCATATCCGCACAGTTTTTGCAAGAAAGGTTCAATTCTCCAAACTAAAAGTGTCTGGTCTTTCGACCAAGTAACCAATTGGAAATTTGTATTGTCCTGTCGCTGCGGTCGCCAATGGAATTCTAAAACGACGTCTCTGTGACCGACAAAAGTGTGCATTGGTGCGGCAGTGTTTCCAATGTTCCACAGTAGCAAACTGTTTTCACCGCCACGGCGAAGCTGAGGTACCACCACTGTTATAATGCCATTACCAAATGGAGTATATCTAGAAAAAACATATGCGTATTAATATTTTTGAAAAAAAATCTATGAGGGCAGATAATTTATAAAAAATAAAACGAGTTTTATTGAGAACAAATTTCAAGATTGAGTCTTGTTCTTTATAGTGTTACTTGTTACCTTGCTCTCCACACAGGCGATCCCGTACTGATAACAAAATCAGCTTTTCTTGGATTTGAGGTATCAAAAAATTTCACACTATTATCTTGACTGGCTGACGTAATTTGATTTTCAATATGGGGACTCCAATCCAACCCATAAATTTTAGAGGTATGCGCGGTAATGTATTGAAGCGGATAAGTGTATTTCCTCTGATCCCATATTTTAATATCTCCTAAAGTGACAATTTTATAGAATAAAGAAACATGTTTAGTACATATTAACACTAACCATCATGAGCAGTGGCAAATAAGTTCGGAGATACTTTATTCCATCTAACTTGAGAACATTCGGCTACGTTTGACAAGGACAATGTTGCTTTCCTAAGTTCTCTTATATCCCACACGTTGACAAAAGTATCCACCGATGAAGTTGCTAATATGTTTGGGTCAAACTTATGCCAATTCAAACCTGAAATTGATCTAGTATGGGCGCGAAGCGAGTGTGATACCGATAAAGATTCTTCTCTCCAGTGTAAAATTTCCAACTTTTCATTTATCTAAATTAGAGGAATTTGAATGAGGTCAGTTTTTTCTTCAAATACATGTTAAATGCCTATAAAACAGATAGCTATGTAAATCGTAATAGACCATAAATAAATATCTACATGTACCAATTAAAGTTTCTTCAAAAAAACTAAGATTACTTACCGCTATAGCACACAATTGTTTATTGTGAGCTGTCGGATTCCACTCAACAGCACTAACTTCATATTTGCTAGTTCTTGGAATTTTGAAAACATTTTCGTACTCTTCATCTAAATTCCTTAGGGCAATCCATCTGCGGCTGCAATGGAATCATGAGACGGTTACAAAGAAACACAAATTCCAATAGTGCAATAAGTTCAGTATTTGTATGGGTGAAAACCAGGGACTCAATTTTTGTCACCACCTTATACAACATAATAATAATAAATTCACAACTTGGCTTCGAAAGTTATGAGCCAAAGAAGCTTCCTCTCAAATCTTTCTCTAAATCTGACGCTCAAAAAAATATGAGCAAATCATAGAATCTGATAGTTGAAATGCTTAAAAACTCTTATGTTTTTCATCTGAGCTGTATTTTAAGTAGCGCTACAATTTCAGCTCTAAAGACAAAATCAAAATAGCTGTAAACAAGATAAGCCTATAGAATCTAGCACTATCTCTTGAAGCTTCATTTTTAGAATCTTCAGAATCGTGTCCATCCCAGGCTCTTGAATTTGTTTTGAATGTTCATAATTTATTGGTCTCAAATAAACAACAATTGGAATGAAAAATAGCTCAGGATCTGAGAAATTCAAAACTTGGCTTCAACATTAATGAGCCAATGAATCTTCTTCTCAAATCTGTCTTTGGGTCTGAGATCATAGAATCTGATAGTTGAAACATACAAGATATGGTACAGAAATTTCCATACAAGATATGGTACAGAAATTTAATGATATTCTCGACAGTGCAATAAATTGACCTATTTGTTCCTCTCAAAAAAGTTGCTAGTAGGAAATTTCCAAAGTGGTTTACACAAGAACTCATTAGTTTAACTATTGAGAAAAAAAATGCTCACAAAAACTTTCGCTCCTTACCATCTCAACAAAACTATCAATCATTTTCTAAATTGTGCACTCTATGCAAGTCCCCATCTCAGCAATGCTACAAAAATTATGTCCAAGCTGTTCAAGTCTCTCTCAACAGTCTCAACAATGGTCCAAAAAAGTTTTGGAAATACATAAACTCTAAACGCAACTCTCATAGCCTACCCGCCAACATCTCCCTTGACAATGTAACATGTGAAATGGGTGTAGATGCAGCCAACCTTTTTGCAAACTACTTCGGATCAGTATACTCTCAAAATCAACCAAAAGTTACTAAAGAAACCTCCCTAAATAATATCAATATACCATCTTATGCTACTTCAATATTTGACATATTTATATTCTGAGCTATCTAACTTAAATACTTTCAAGGGTCCTGGTCTAGATAAAATTTACCCTATTCTACTTAAAAATTGCCCTTTCATACTGGCCAGACCTCTGCAAATTATATTTAACAAGTCTATAAGCTCTGGTCACTTTCCAGATGTTTGAAAATCTAGTTATGTCGCTCCCATCTTCAAGTCTGGAGACAGTGGAGACGTGAGAATTACAGGCCCATCAGTATTATGAGCACAATTCCCAAGGTCACCTTTGATCGCAAATAATCAGTTTTTGGATTTTTTTCTGGCCGAAATATGGAACCAAATCTTTCTCATCAAACATCATTAAAAGCTTTGAAAATGAATTAGTAGTATAGTCTGGCTAGCGAAACGGCGAACTGCAAAAGAACTTGACGGAAATAATGAAAAACAAGTTGGTGACATTTTTTTTTTTGCTATATGGGCATGTGTAGTATTTTGAAATAGGAAAAAATCCGGCAACATTGCAAAATGATAGATGTGGAGAGGCGTGATTATTCAGAGGTATGATTCTATTGGTTAGAGTCTGAACGACAGCAGGCAGTGGCGTGGTTATTGGCGAAACTAAAGAATTTTTTTTTCTAATAATTTTATTGGTGTTTCCGGTGCCACTGAACCGAAAGACATGGCTGTCATCAGGTGGTGTCAGTTGAGGTGTCAGTGAATATTTTTAGGTCACGCCCCACTTTTCTTCCCCCTTTCGTCTCTACCAAGTTACCACTTGCCAGACTATACATACCATTTATACAGACTATGCATTGCTTAATCCACAAACTAAAGGTAATGGAAATTTCAGGTTCCATGCTTGACTGGATTGAAAGTGACATGACTGGACAGGACATACCCAGATTGTAAAAGTAAACAATTTTCTGTCTAATACAATAAAGGTTTCAAGGTTTCCTCAGGAACCGCCCAAGGTTCCCATTAAGCACCACTACTCTTTAATTACTTTATAAACGATGGTGGATCACGCTTTAAGCACAGTGATCGTAAGCTCTTTGCTGATGATAAGAGACTGTCTCTTGTTACAGCATGATCTTGATGAGTTTGTACAGTGATGCAAGACAAATGGAATGGAGCTAAATGCGGGGCTAAATGTATCAAAATGTAAGCTAATGATCTTTTCTAGAAAACGCTCTAGAACAACCTTTAATTACTCCATTGAAGGAAATTTACCTTTGATGGTTGAAACAATAACTGATTTCGGCATAGTTCTTGATCCAGAACTATCCTACACTGACAATATTACTTTCATAGTAAATAAATCCCTTAGAATGTTAGGATTCCTAAAACGAAATACTCAAGATTTTAACTCAATTCATGCTCTCAAAATTCTTTATTGCAGTCTAGTCAGGGTAGGTCACACTTAGAATATGCCTCATCTATTTGGAATCTTCACTACCAAATACATAAGTACCACAAGAATAGAGGGTATACAGAGAAGATTCCTTCACTACATTAATTATAAATTTTTCCATACTGAGTTGAGCTACGAAACTCTGCACCAGAGATTAAATCTGCAAACTATATCCACCAGGAGAACTCTCAGGGACCTATCTATGCTTTTTAAATTAAGTAACTCTATAGTGGATTGTGCCCACCTAACAAGCATGGTCAACCATTATGTTCTCCATTTCAACACAAGAAATCATCAAACTTGTCATATTCCTTTTTTCCGCACAAACTATGGCAAAAACTCATTTTTCCCACAAAATATGACTATTGCCAATCAAAATACCAATCTAGAATTGTTCACTACACCTAAACAATTTAAACCACAACTCTCACAGACTCACTTAACTTAATTATCACAACGTTCAACATCATTATTTATAAGACAACCTATAATTATTAAATTAATATGAAAATTAATATAATATTAAATACTTGAGTACATTGGTAAGGGTAAGTTCTGTTTACAACTTTAGTACATAATTGTTTTCAATGAAGATTTTCTATTGTAACCTGTAAGTTATTTTGTAATATTATTTTAAAAAGTTTGAAATAATGGGCTTCTGCCCATCAAATAAATAAAATAACAATAAATTCGGGATTATTCATATTTTTCCGAGTATTTTTCCTATCTATATTAAACGAAATAAAAATCCTAAGGAAAAATACCTAGTCAAATAATATTATTCAAACAATTATTCTTAGATACATAAATAAAAATCAAAAGGAACCTTGCTCGAGATAACTAATAGTAGTAACATAACTAAAAAAAGAATTTGTACTAATGAACTAATAAACAAATATACAATTTTGTCGAGTTGAGTAAACACAAAATCCTACAAAAATCCAAAAATCCAATAGAAATTTTCAAAAATCGGGGTGCCCAGATTTCCCTGAAAAGTTTTGGATATCTCCATTTCCTGCAGGTTGTACACGGGATACCCCGTTCTGAATGACCCCTCGCATCACACATTACTCGAGTGAAAAAACTTCAAGGTATTTTGCAAATTTTGAGAATGTGCTGAGGTATGGCATCAATATATTCTGGAACAGAGATGGATCAATTCAAAATGTGTGAAGTTTTGATAATGTCTTCTAGTTTTAGGGCTTTGTAAATATCTTTTACCAAAGAAGTTGAGTGCAGTGTTTCATTTATACTAGTAATAGATTATTAGCTGCTGTTGGTGTTCCTAATTCCATTGGGTATATGTAAGTATATGTATTTTTCCCCCTTTTTCATATAGTTTTGGTAAGCGCCATTCGGATGTAGTGCCTACCGAGGTGCCTACCAATATTATTGCCATATAAACTCTGTACAGTTACCTGAAATGGTCCTAATGAATTTTGTTCATATTTGTATGATTTTTTCTTTATGTCTACAACTTTCTAAGGACACGATAGTTAGTTAATAGTAGTAGGTATATAATATATGCTTTTAACTTTGTCTTTTCAAGTCCTTTAGTCTAGTGAAAAGTTTATTTAGTCTGAAAGTTTCTTGGATTTAGGGATAGGAAATAGGAATTGTGAAAAGTTCAATTTAGTCCAAGTGTTGAAATTTAAATTATAATGCCTAGGTGGTAGTAGGGTTGCCAGACGTCCCGATTTTCACGGGACAGTCCCGATATTGAAGATTTTGTCCCGTGTCCCGATGTACCAAACGTCGGGACGCTAAATGTCCCGATTTCACGGAATTTTTTTGAAAGTTGGAAAAAATTAAAAGTACTTATAAGTCATTTATTTTTGAATTGCACTTTTTAATTATCCATTACTATTATCAAGATTTTTCTGGTTTCGACGATAAGGATAAACTAAGTAATGCATTTTATTATTTTGTCTTATTTTTTATTTTTAAATTTTATTAGAAGTATTATTGTTCAGTTTTATTTTATTTCCTTTATACAGGGAGTCCCTGTTCAACTGGTCAAAAATGCTGGGGTATACACCGTAATTTACGTAGCTCGTGCATTAGAAGTTGTCCAGTTTGCAGGTGAACAGGGAACAATCATATTTTTCAAAGTATTTTTTTTCTTATTGCTTATGTTTTCAAATATAAAATGTATATGTTTTTTTTTTGTTTTATGTCCTCATTGAAATAAAAAAATTATTTTGAATTTCAAATTATTTTCGTTAGCGCGAAAACGATTAGCTTCAAGATGGTGGAATTTGTGACGTCAACTGTCTGTAAACACAACGTTAAGGTCTGTTCTCACAAGAGCCTTTGACACTTTGCAAACTGTCGGAAAGAATCGTTTAGCTTGAACCTTCGACTGCATTGAAACTTGAAAGCGGTTATTTATGAGGTAAAGTCTGTTTTTTTTTTTAAAGATAAAAGTCAAAATGACATTATGTTGGCAATACAATGTAAAATTGTCAATGCTTTCAAATTTTTTGTGTAGAAAAGG